TCACTCCCGTGATTGGACGGCGTTGTAAGCGGGTAAAGATAAAATATTCATTACTATATCGAGACTTGGTTCCCGATGAAGGGTTTCATGTTGGAACTTCTGAGGGATGAAAAGAGGGAAAGATGCGTTATAAAGGACTATGAAAAGGAGATCGAAAACTTGTGGTTCAGTAATTTCTATCTACTGCCTTCTGAGAAGGGTTTTCGATATAAGTCCCTAGATAGTGGTATGTTGAATTCCTAGTGGGAACATTCCATTCTAGTTCATATTCTCATGCATGGCATATCTTGATATTCCCTAGTTGCCCATCTCTGTAGGTATGATTTCCCTATTTCTATGTCCCGGGATAAATGCTAAGACTACTGAGAGCGACAACACCCCCACCAGCCAAGTACAGCTACCCTCCATGCTGTACCACTTGAAGGGGAAGGCATAGTCCCTTTCGAAAAATTCATCAAAGATTTCGAGCTGGTCTATGACCATTGGTCGATGCCAGGAAGAGGATCCTCCTGGATAATCACCTCAGAGGAGCTGCAAGGGAGTTTGCCCTCCAGTCTCAACAGACTCGGTTGGGGTATAACGAGTTGAAGGAGAGCCTGGGAAGAAGGTTTAAAAAAAAAAATCTCCACCAGAGAGATGCTGAGCCAATTCTTCTCCTGCAGGCAGAAGGTTGGAGAGAAGGTCCGAGCCTGCAAGGCAGCCAGCAGCCCATGAACCAACTTCTGAGACACCGACAGGATGGCCTGTGGAACTGGAACAACAAAACGTCCCTCCCACAAGCGACATCTCCGCCAAGGCTACACCCTTCAGACCAGAGGTGCACTTAACAAGTATGGCTACCTGCGAAGCGGGCCGAATAATTTTTGTCTCACCCTTATCAGAGAACTCTGCCGAGGAAGCTCAAAGAGATACCTTCTCTGAAGAAACGCGCCCCACCAGTCCTCCAGCATCCAACCCTGCACTGCCGTCATTCCCTGATCCAACAGGAGGAAGCTGCAGACAAACTGCCGGTCGTGGATAACGACCCTCCCAACGTGCAAACGCCACAAGTTTGTGATAGCGAGGTTCTTCAAACACAGCCACTCCACCTAACGACTGCCCTCTAGCCACAAGGTCACCCCTCCTCCAGCCTGATGAACTCCAGCAGCGCTCTCACCGAACATCCCTCACTCCCTTCCAGGAAGAGTGGGATGATACAGATACAGCTGTAAACCACAAAGAACTGCTCTTCTGTCTCATTGAGAACTTAATCAAAGAAGTGAAAATGAGACTGGGAAACCTAACACAAGGACAAAATGTAGGGCACCACCACCGCAAAAACCTCGGAGTACCAGACCATCTGTACCCAGCTTCGATATTTGAGAAGATATTGGGCCAACGCTCCCCAGGCTGCACCATCCCCATCCAGATAATCGAGAAGCATTTTGAAAAATGCATGGTTGGGGACAACACCGAATTCAGCCCTGACCCAGATCTCCTCAAAGACTTCACTCTCAAGGACGGAACCCAAGTTGAAAGAACCCATCTCTTCCAACGCTATCATACAATTTTGTCTATAGATTGAGCAAATCAGAATGTAATACAAATAAATTCAAATTGCGTAGTTTAAATGTGACATTTTGAAGAAACAGCCTTGTTACCAAAACATCGAGCAAAAATGGCATAATTTGGATTCTATTTTGGTACTTTGTAACTAATATTTTAAATCATTTGATACTATTTGATACATTCTCAAGGACGGAACCCAAGTTGAAAGAACCCATCTCTTCCAACGCAGTATGCTTTTTCAAGATGGGGAGGCTACAAGACAGCTACCAGGAACTGAAATGGGTGGATCCCAATGCCACCATCCTCACCCAGATCTTCCAGGCCTGCTTTCAGATGAGTGCGGCACCCCCTTCGTGGAAGGAAAGCTCCTCTATCTTGCTCCACAAGAAAGGGGACGCCAAGGACCTAGAGAACTGGAGGAAAAATATCAAGATATGCCATGCATGAGAATATGAACTAGAATGGAATGTTCCCACTAGGAATTCAACATACCACTATCTAGGGACTTATATCGAAAACCCTTCTCAGAAGGCAGTAGATAGAAATTACTGAACCACAAGTTTTCGATCTCCTTTTCATAGTCCTTTATAACGCATCTTTCCCTCTTTTCATCCCTCAGAAGTTCCAACATGAAACCCTTCATCGGGAACCAAGTCTCGATATAGTAATGAATATTTTATCTTTACCCGCTTACAACGCCGTCCAATCACGGGAGTGAAGTTAATTTCTAGATTCTTAGAAAACTTCGAAAAGGCTATTGCAAACTTACAATATATGATATGTTTGCAATAGTGCAATATGACCTAGTTTGGCATTTACGGTTATTTTAACCACATAATGATATGTTTTATATGTATTGGTTTTGTTGTGGGTCGGTGTTTTAATTGTCCACCAACTTTCTATGAGGTACTGTGGGTGAGCTTTGTGGAGGTCGCCGAAGTGGACTCCACATTTTGAGCCATTGTGTGGATTCTTTCATGTCCAATAACGGTTGGTCTTCATTTTTGAAGAATGTTCTGTGGATTATTTTTCTGGCCAATGATGTGTTTATGTGTATTTTCTAGAGAGTAGGTGTGTGAACACTCCATGTGTACATTCAAACTCAATGAAACCACAGCAATGTTTGGTCCAATGACGTGGGAGATCACTCAACAAGCATTCTTCTTTCCTCATAACTGAGAGATAGTAAGATAGAGATGGATAAGAGAGAGATAGATAGTAAGAAAGAGACATAGAGATTAAATCTACTTTTATTATATCACAGCATTATATAGTGCTAAATACATAAATGATATATATACAAGGCTTCATTAGCGATGAATTTCCCATCCACGGGAAACACTCCGCCACCGGTGGATCGCCAGAGAGTGCAAAACAAACAAACAAAAAAGTAAATATAGACAAACCCAACAAATATGAGATAAAAGCTCACATAAAACATAACTTCACTCAAACAGAACATGAGTAAAAACCATATACATAGCCAGAGAGGATAACAAACTCATCATGATACATATATATATATTAATAAGTTTGTATTATGTATAAAAGAAAGTCTCCTTCACCAGCAGCCGCCTTCACCTCAGAACCTCCAGATTGGCATGGCAAACTGCTATCTGGAGTGGGAAGAAGAGGAAAACATGCCACCATCTTCCCCTGACTCTGAAGAATCCGGCCCCTCAAGAACCAAGCAATACGACTTCCAAGCTGGAACAAGAGGAACTTCTTTCAGAAATATTAGAAATTTGTCAGGAGTTGTATCAGCTGGCCATGCTGATAGCACACTGTAAGGACTCCAGGGATACAGGATGTACTCCATGTTAGGAGTAGCTGTACATGGTGTCTGTTCCTCATGTCAGAGGAGGGGGGGGGCAGTAACAAGTTCACTAAACAACCTGGGCTCAGCTGGCCATGCTGATAGTACCCTGTAAGGACTCCAGGGATACAGGATGTACTCCATGTTAGCTGTACATGGTGTCTGTTCCTCATGTCAGAGGAGGGGGAGCAGTAACAAGTTTACTAAACAACCTGGGCTCAGCTGGCCATGCTGATAGTACCCTGTAAGGACTCCAGGGATACAGGATGTACTCCATGTTAGGAGTGGCTTTTCAGGCTGTCTGTTCCTCATGTCAGACATTTATGTTGGAGCTAAGTCGGCTTGCTATTGAGTACTGCTCCCATTAATGACAAAGGCAAACGTATTCTACTTCATCCAGTGTGGAGATAGGAAAGAAGAAGAAATTATCAGAGAATTATATATCATCCCAAATATTTATATATATTTTTCTCTCTTCTTTAACCATTAACTAAATATCAATATAAGAAAATATAACAATGGAAATACAGTTCTCATCGCTGAGGAAATCAAACTAAAATATCGGGGGAAATATATTGAGTTTTTAGCCAATCGCGGCTTTAATAGCCGTGATGGGGTTCCCCCCGTTGTTCTGTGACCAGACCCCATCAAGATCCCTATTCTGTGAAGCCTGTGTTGGCGGACTTCGTACCACAGCGAGAGGCTGTACCTGTCATTGTCCTGGACCACCAATATATCGAGGTCCTATAAAGGTCCCTGCGGACTCCTACTATCCGAAATCTCACTGTCCATCTAACCCAGTCCCTCGGATGTCTGAAGGTCCTCTACCAGCTGATTTCTACTATCCACATGCTCCCCAGAGCTACAGAACCAGTTGTTGTAACCACAGAGAGAACCATCGCTGCTATAGGCCCAATCATACTCAGCAAGTCTGTAGTCATAATGGAGAACATGGCCACACAGGACAATCCTCCCCAGGAACTCACTAAACCTGAAAAACTTTCTTTCTCAATGTTTCTATTTTTTTTTGCATAAAACAAGATGAAAAGATTATTGATAGTGGACATTGCTGTGATAGAGATATATGGAGACATCTGAGGCTCTTCATTGGACACGACAACAACAACAACAGATAATTGACATGGACCCAGAACAGCAGCTTTACACATCCAAGATAGAGAACATTGCTGTGATAGAGATGTATTGCTCAAGGCCAAAAAAACTCCCAAGAAGGATCTCCACATGCCACCCACTTCTATGTTGATTGACTCTCTGGTGGAGATAAAAGAACTTCTAAAAGCTCAGTCACTTGACTCCCCGGGCAAACTGCTGCTGACCATTGCAGCGAGCCATCCTGAGGTGGAGAGCTTGCCGCTCTACTGGGAGGTGCGAGCCATGGTGGCAGAGAACATGGGGGAGATCACCCGTGGCCTCGAGCTGCTCATGGAGGCTGTGGACAGTGGAGTGAGGCCTTTCCTAGATATGGCTGAGGTCATAGAGCGGTTCCTGCGGCGCACCCGCAACACTCCGAGCAGAATTCCCCTGGCCGATCAATCCAACCTTCCCTCTGAATCCAAAGAGAAGTTTACAGCCTCCCCCAAGCCCCCGCGGAGATCATTGCGCATCGCACAGAACTCTGGCTCCAAGATTTTGCGTCTATAGAGCCTCATATATCACTTTTTATGGCTTTTCCTGTGTGAATTTCACTGAGGATTGCCTTATTATTTATTGCACACCCTGAGTTGTAACTTGTATATTACAAATGTACATCGCATATAAGTATATCAATATTTTGACATCTGAGGCTCTTCATTGGACACGACAACAACAACAGAAAATTGACCCAGAACAGCAGCTTTACACACCCAAGATAGAGAACATTGCTGTGATAGAGATGTATTAGTAAATTAAATTTAATTGCCATTTAATTTTATAGAGATGTATGGAGACATCTGAGTCTCATCATTGGACATGACAACAAAAACAACAATACAGTATACATACCCAAGATAGAGGAGTCCAGGGATGATTGACAGGTGTCCCATGGAGCTTCTTGTAGAGCTACTTGACAATATGTATATATAGAGAGAGAGATAGATAGTAAGAAAGAGACATAGAGATTAAATCTACTTTTATTATATCACAGCATTATATAGTGCTAAATACATAAATGATATATATACAAGGCTTCATTAGCGATGAATTTCCCATCCACGGGAAACACTCCGCCACCGGTGGATCGCCAGAGAGTGCAAAACAAACAAACAAAAAAGTAAATATAGACAAACCCAACAAATATGAGATAAAAGCTCACATAAAACATAACTTCACTCAAACAGAACATGAGTAAAAACCATATACATAGCCAGAGAGGATAACAAACTCATCATGATACATATATATATATTAATAAGTTTGTATTATGTATAAAAGAAAGTCTCCTTCACCAGCAGCCGCCTTCACCTCAGAACCTCCAGATTGGCATGGCAAACTGCTATCTGGAGTGGGAAGAAGAGGAAAACATGCCACCATCTTCCCCTGACTCTGAAGAATCCGGCCCCTCAAGAACCAAGCAATACGACTTCCAAGCTGGAACAAGAGGAACTTCTTTCAGAAATATTAGAAATTTGTCAGGCGAAGACCATAGAGGACCCTACCCCTTCTAAGCCCCCGAAGGACAAGAATTAGGAACAGCTCCACCTAGGGTGTCCACATTCATGATCCTGGGGCCCCCCTTCATGGACCTACAAGAAAAGGCGTCATCAACCACTTCGAAGAGTCCATCCGAATCAAAAAATGCTTCTGATGCTGCTGCTTCAGACACAACTCAACCAGATGCACCTCTGCTGATCCCATCCATTGTATCAAAACTGGACAGGATTTGATAATAAATAAATACATTATGTGGTAGTTATCTAAGAATGTCAAATTATTGACATACATGAGCAGTTTTCTCAGTTATGAGGAAAGAAGAATGCTTGTTGAGTGATCTCCCACGTCATTGGACCAAACATTGCTGTGGTTTCATTGAGTTTGAATGTACACATGGAGTGTTCACACACCTACTCTCTAGAAAATACACATAAACACATCATTGGCCAGAAAAATAATCCACAGAACATTCTTCAAAAATGAAGACCAACCGTTATTGGACATGAAAGAATCCACACAATGGCTCAAAATGTGGAGTCCACTTCGGCAACCTCCACAAAGCTCACCCACAGTACCTCATAGAAAGTTGGTGGACAATTAAAACACCGACCCACAACAAAACCAATACATATAAAACATATCATTATGTGGTTAAAATAACCGTAAATGCCAAACTAGGTCATATTGCACTATTGCAAACATATCATATATTGTAAGTTTGCAATAGCCTTTTCGAAGTTTTCTAAGAATCTAGAAATTAACTTCACTCCCGTGATTGGACGGCGTTGTAAGCGGGTAAAGATAAAATATTCATTACTATATCGAGACTTGGTTCCCGATGAAGGGTTTCATGTTGGAACTTCTGAGGGATGAAAAGAGGGAAAGATGCGTTATAAAGGACTATGAAAAGGAGATCGAAAACTTGTGGTTCAGTAATTTCTATCTACTGCCTTCTGAGAAGGGTTTTCGATATAAGTCCCTAGATAGTGGTATGTTGAATTCCTAGTGGGAACATTCCATTCTAGTTCATATTCTCATGCATGGCATATCTTGATATTCCCTAGTTGCCCATCTCTGTAGGTATGATTTCCCTATTTCTATGTCCCGGGATAAATGCTAAGACTACTGAGAGCGACAACACCCCCACCAGCCAAGTACAGCTACCCTCCATGCTGTACCACTTGAAGGGGAAGGCATAGTCCCTTTCGAAAAATTCATCAAAGATTTCGAGCTGGTCTATGACCATTGGTCGATGCCAGGAAGAGGATCCTCCTGGATAATCACCTCAGAGGAGCTGCAAGGGAGTTTGCCCTCCAGTCTCAACAGACTCGGTTGGGGTATAACGAGTTGAAGGAGAGCCTGGGAAGAAGGTTTAAAAAAAAAAATCTCCACCAGAGAGATGCTGAGCCAATTCTTCTCCTGCAGGCAGAAGGTTGGAGAGAAGGTCCGAGCCTGCAAGGCAGCCAGCAGCCCATGAACCAACTTCTGAGACACCGACAGGATGGCCTGTGGAACTGGAACAACAAAACGTCCCTCCCACAAGCGACATCTCCGCCAAGGCTACACCCTTCAGACCAGAGGTGCACTTAACAAGTATGGCTACCTGCGAAGCGGGCCGAATAATTTTTGTCTCACCCTTATCAGAGAACTCTGCCGAGGAAGCTCAAAGAGATACCTTCTCTGAAGAAACGCGCCCCACCAGTCCTCCAGCATCCAACCCTGCACTGCCGTCATTCCCTGATCCAACAGGAGGAAGCTGCAGACAAACTGCCGGTCGTGGATAACGACCCTCCCAACGTGCAAACGCCACAAGTTTGTGATAGCGAGGTTCTTCAAACACAGCCACTCCACCTAACGACTGCCCTCTAGCCACAAGGTCACCCCTCCTCCAGCCTGATGAACTCCAGCAGCGCTCTCACCGAACATCCCTCACTCCCTTCCAGGAAGAGTGGGATGATACAGATACAGCTGTAAACCACAAAGAACTGCTCTTCTGTCTCATTGAGAACTTAATCAAAGAAGTGAAAATGAGACTGGGAAACCTAACACAAGGACAAAATGTAGGGCACCACCACCGCAAAAACCTCGGAGTACCAGACCATCTGTACCCAGCTTCGATATTTGAGAAGATATTGGGCCAACGCTCCCCAGGCTGCACCATCCCCATCCAGATAATCGAGAAGCATTTTGAAAAATGCATGGTTGGGGACAACACCGAATTCAGCCCTGACCCAGATCTCCTCAAAGACTTCACTCTCAAGGACGGAACCCAAGTTGAAAGAACCCATCTCTTCCAACGCAGTATGCTTTTTCAAGATGGGGAGGCTACAAGACAGCTACCAGGAACTGAAATGGGTGGATCCCAATGCCACCATCCTCACCCAGATCTTCCAGGCCTGCTTTCAGATGAGTGCGGCACCCCCTTCGTGGAAGGAAAGCTCCTCTATCTTGCTCCACAAGAAAGGGGACGCCAAGGACCTAGAGAACTGGAGGAAAAACAGTGCTGATTGTTCTTAGAAAGCTAGGCCTCTGCAGAAGACAAAGAAAGGATAAATAGGAAAATTGATTTACCAGACATTTACACACCATTTAGATCTTTAATAAGGCCCTACACCATCCAGACACTAAACAAATTACCAAAATGAAAAACAAAATCAATGTAATTTACAGAATACCTTGTAACAATTTGCAGCTAATTATATAGGGGAAACCAGCAAACCACTCAAAGATTGTTTAAATCAACACAAATCAGGATTAAGAAATTATAACCCACTGTCTCTCCGTGTTGATCATGCACTGAACAACAATAAATCAACACAAATAATTATTAAGAAATTCTAACCCAGTCTCTCCTTGTAGATCATGTACTCTACGACAACACACTCCGGACTTTGAAAATACAGCTATTTTATACCAGAACATTAAGGAAAAACACTGCCGATTATTCTTAGCAAGCTGGGCCTCTGCAGAAGACAAAGAAAGTATAAATAGGAAAATTGATTTACCAGACATTTACACACCATTAAAGATCTTAATTTTTTGTATTAATTACAATAAATTTTCTTTCTTCCCAACAATCATTGAGTTGCAATAGTTTTACTTATGCTGGTTACACCGTCCAGTGATTCGAATCTTGTTTTAAAGATTGACAAACACAGTTGGCCATGTGTCCATGAAGAACCCTAAACAGAATGATACCATGAACCCCAACATGGTCTCCGGTGTTTCAGTAACATCCATCCTACCACCAAATACTCTCTCTCTGAACTTTTTGGCTCTCCTCCTCCTTCTAAAATGATATTTGTGGGCAAAACACAGTAATTATGAACACTACAGATTACAATACTAAGGTAGAAGGTTTACTTCAAGAAATCTATTAACAAATTGCACTAAAGAATTTAAATAATAAAACTTGACAAAATGGTGTATATAAAAACTAGAGAAAAAACATTTGAAAATTTAAAGGCCGAAAGCAAGAATTTACCAAACTCTTATGGCACATAAAAGTACATAAGCCAAACATATTGTTGCATCCTATTGTTTCTTATGCTGGTTTACCCCCTCACTATCATCTCTCCCCTCCAGAAATTACTTCCCCACACTGTCCCAAATTCTACAGTAGCTGCAGAAACAATCAGAGACCTTTCAACTTCTAATAACAGCCGTATGGTATCTTTCGACATTGAATCACTCTACACTTCAATCCCACACAATGAAGCTATTCTAGCACTCCAAAAAGTTATAGAAACCCATCAAAATCTTGTTATTTCTTTCTCCAAAGAGGTTTTAATTGTTTAATTAAACTCTTTGTTTAGAACACAATTATTTCAGACACAAAGATAAATTCTACAGACAAATCAAAGGCTTACCGATGGGAAACCCTATCTCATCGCCATTAGCGAACATTTTCATGGACCAAATTGATTGAGTTGTCACTGAATCAAAGCAACTCAAAATTATTTTTTTGGAAGAGGTACATAGATGACATTTTTTTGTATAACAGAATCAGATATTTCTGTAATTTTAAAATATTTGAATAATTTAAGATCATTTTTAAAATTTACGCATGAAATAGAAAATAATAATTATTTATCATTTATATTTAGATAAAGAGCATTGATACTTAGAATGTGAACAGACGAATGATCATCATCATTACTGATTTTGTTTTTAAGGTGAACGGGTGAAAAGATTGACATGGAAGATGAAGAGTCTCCTGAGATGAGTCAGTGCTTCACATCTACTTGGGACAACACTACTTGTGACAGTGAACCGAGGACATTCCAGAGATCACCGGAACCAGTAAAGACCAGGAGTGGAGGCGTGATAAAGCCGCCAGACAGGCTAAACCTCTAGAAGAAAAGGGGGAGATGTGTTGAGAATAAGTTACCATCTGACAACCCATCATTACTGTTTACCTTAGGCTGGCGGAAGTTCCGGCATAGCTGTGATTGTTATAAGTTAGATAATATTGCCTTGTAAATAGTTAAATAAATAAAACTAAGCGATATAAATCCTTAAAGTTCCTTTTTTATAACAAAGCATAACACCATACAGAAACATGCCTGATCGTCAACCTGGGTTTTAGCTTCAGTCCAGCCAACTACGTTCTCGACCGCAACAAGTATGTCATATTTTAAATACGAAATCTACAAATATTTTATAGATATCGATATCAATTGTACCCCTTCCCCACTAACAATAGAGCTGTAAGGACATTTTTGACTTAATAAAGATCTTTTTTTAGCACACACACAGGAAATTATTTATTTTTCAATTATTGGACCAGTACATCATAAAAACGCTGTGGTTAAAGCTCTCTCCAAAAGATTAGAAACACATTGCTCATGAAATAATGAAGAGAAATAGAATCTTCAGAAAATGATGCTAGCCCCAAACCCGACCTGTCACCATGAGATTTTATGCTTTCACCACCTCCACCCTCTATAGCTTACACAGTTGGTACAGACTCTGCTTCCTTGTCCCTTGATTGGGCGGCTAACAACTACAAGAAATAGAATCTTCAGAAAATTAAAAAACAACAATTACCCAAGCAAATTTATCGAAAAACATTTTTCAAACCAAATCTCCACCATTAAATAACACACCTGATCAATCAAAAAAGCTTTACTGCTCCCTCCCCTACAGCTACGGCTCTGAACGTATCGCCAGAGTCCTAAAGAGATACAAAATCACAACCACCTATCAATCATCTTTAAATATAAAAAAGGCCCTACGCCATCCAGACACTGAGCAAATTAACAAAATGGAAAACAAAATCAATGTAATTTACCGAATACCTTGTAACAATTTCCAAGCTAATTATATAGGGGAAACCAGCAAACCACTCAAAGATCTTATAAATCAACACAAATCCTGCTGCACTTGACTTGCAAGCGACGCAAAAACTAATCGAACAATTCAGTGATTGTAAGCCGTCATTTTGCAATTTGCGTAAATACGTTGATGAAATTTATCCTAAGCAACCAGGAGGTGTTTGGCGGACGAGTGAACGACTACTGGTGGCGTATCGAGTTTCAAAACAGAGGTAGTCCACATCTACATATAGTGGTTTGGTTAGAAAACAATCCATCATTCGATCGTGTATGCTCATGCAAAATATCATCCGAAGATTCAGAGATTCATGAGCTAAATCAAGAAGTGTCAAATTCATCATCACACTACTTCTTGTACGAAAAATGATTCACCAACATGTAGGTTCAGCTTCCCACGTCAGGAGTGTGCGGAAACCCGAATCGTAGCACATTCATCACTTGATTTCGTACGGAACGGTGGAAGACTAAGTTTACTCAAGCGTCACCAGGAGGACCGATGGGTTAACAACTATAATCCAACACTCTTAGGATTATGGAAAGGAAATATGGATATTCGACCATACGGATCAAATGATGCCATCACATTTTACATAGCAAAATATATATCCAAATCAGAGCATACGGAACTAGATGCAGGTGTGGCTCAAGCAATTAGGCAGATTAAACGGGAGGAATCCAATATATCACACAAGCTCTTCAAGATCTGTATGCGGAGAGGACTTCAGCCTATATACATCTTCCTAGATCACAAGTTATTGATGACAATCCTAATGTGAAGAAAACAATCCAACCAATCTATGTGAGAACAGAACAACAGGACCTGTTAACCAAGAACCTCTCCGGTCTCCGCCTAAATAACCAGACCAAGATGCTGGGAATGGACTTCACACAGGACTGAATTTTTAATTAAAGGGAGGTTTGATAGACGATAATTAAATATATATATATGTAGGATTTGATTAGGAAGAAGCTGGCAACACGGAATCAAGAAGAGCGTTTACGATGACAACCGAAGAATAAGACTTTTTACTTTCTCTTTCTTTTTAATTTTGTTTTAAATTGTAAACTTTAAAATAAATCCATTTATATCTACTCCTAGTAGATCCTACAACATCAACAAGAAGCGTACCATGCAGGAGATACTGGATCAACACTCCTCAGGCTGCACCAAAATGATCCAAATAAACACATAGTTGGTGATAACATTGAATTCAACCTAGATCTCCAAGGGCAGAGCCCAGTTGGAAGAACCCATCTCTTCTAATGCAGTATGCCTTCTCAAGATGGGAAAAACTGCTCCAGACAGCTAGCTACCAGGAACTGAGACGGGTGAATCCCGATGCCACCATCCTCACCCAGGCCTGTACCACTGCGACCCTTTCTCCATTGAAGAAGCAGACCTGCTGTTAAGGAAGCTAGGGAAGAACCTGCCCCATCAGGCCAGCGACGAGGTGCTCTTCATTTGGAATAATATAAAAAAGCAATTATATATACCAAAAATTCCATCCACGAACAATAGACAGGTCTTAACCCCGAACATATTTTGCTCCTTACCTTACACCTATGGTTGTGAATGAATAGCCAGAAGTTTAAAAAAACTCAACTCAAGATATCAACCCAACCAAAATTAAAGAAGCATCTTCCGTCACCCTGATACAAAACAAATCTACAAGCCAGAAGATAGAGTCAATGTAATTTATAAAATACCATGTAAATCCTGTCAGGCAATATACATAGGAGAAACCAGCAAATCTTTATCTGAAAGAATTAACCAACACAAATCCGCACTAAAGCACCATAGTCCGACATCCCTACTGGTAGATCATGCATTCAACAATAGTCATACTCCAGACTTCGATCACACATCTATAATACATCAAAATATCATAGAAGAACATTGCCGATTATATTTAGAAAGCTGGAGCTCAGGAGAAAATAAAAATAGTATTAATAGAAAAATTGACTTACCAGATGTATATACTCAGTTTAGAACCTCTTAGATGATTGTTATTTATATGTTTATTTTATTTTATTTTAAATCAGATATTTGAATTAAATAAAACGAACGAATCCGTACCAATAATTTCTTTCACACTACCGTTTACTATAAGAACAACTCACCCCCCACACTACACACATTATAGCTCCCACTGCCCCATTACCCATAAAATAAGCTTAGCGAAGACCCTTACCAAGCGGATCTTCACACATTGTTCACTTAACATATTCCAAAACATTGAGATATCAAATAGCCCATTTGACAAATGCCAATTACCCTATTTCATTCATCAACAGACACTTTTATAACCCAAATTACACAAAACCAGCACAAATTAACATAAGTCACTGCACTCTCCCCTATAGTCCACAATCAGTCGCTATAGCTTCACTACTGAAGCCATACGGCATCAAAACATTCTACCAAAAGATTCTCCCGAAAGATAAAAACCTGCAATGCCCTCACTGTGGTACAGAGGACGGTGGACCACCTTGCTACAAACTCTGGAAGATTGCTTCCTTACTTCATTTCCTGCAGAAGAAGAAACAAATTCATCATCAGGAGATGAAGAATCCTCTGTTGAAATTCAGAATTCAGTATCAAATACAAGATACAACTTTAGACACACACATAGACCAGGCTTCTATTATGAACCAAGTTTGAGTGAAGAAGAATATGAAGAAAATTCAATTATTCAAGCCCCAAATGATACTCTATTAATGACTCAGTATCAAAATCATATACCAAAAACTTATAAAGAAGCAATTGAATGCCCACAAGCAAGTAAATGGACAGAAGCCATGAAAAACTAAATAAATTATTTATTAGAACACCATGTATGGGACATTGAACCACTTCCTAAAGGAACAAAACCAATCAAAAGCAAATGGATTTTTACCATTAAAAATGACCCCATAATAGGAAAAAGATACAAAGCCAGATTGGTTGCAGCTGGTTATTCTCAAAAATATGGAATTGATTACTCTCAAACATTTTCACCAGTTATAAGTTCTGATACACTCAGAATATTACTTTGTTATGCTGCAATGCAAAATTATGATTTTAAAAATTATGATATTGAAACAGCATATTTGTATGGTGACCTCCAAGAAAAACAATATATGTTACAACCTGAAGGTTTTGAAATGGGTGATAAAAACATGGTTTGCAAGCTCAAAAAGGCAATATATGGTCTTCATCAATCAGCCAAAGTATTTTATGACACCCTCAAAAGTCATCTTTTAGATGAAGGTTTTAAAAATCTAACCTCAGATAAATGTGTATTTATATATGAGAAGAACAATTCTAAGATAATTCTGGGAATATGTGGATGATATTCTAGCCATATATTCAGATTCAAATATACTAAATCAAGCCATATCAATTCAAACTCAAGGAAAATACTAAAAATACCAATTTGCTAGGAATGGAAATATACAAAGAAAATGGCAAAATATTCATTAACCAGAAAGCTTATATTGAAAATATCTTAATAAAATTTGAAATGGAAAACTGCAAAACTAAATCAACACCTTTAGATGTAAATATTGATTTTTCACAATATGACAACTCTAAGAAATGTGATCCAAAAAAATACCAAGAAATCCTAGGAAATTTGCTGTTTCTAAGTGTAAAGACAAGACCTGACTTATCTTTTCCTCTGACACAGCTTTCAAAATATTCACAGGATCCTAGGGAAATTCATTTTGGTGCATTAAAAGGAATTTTTGGATACTTGAAAAACTATTAACTTTGCCTTATGTTACAATAAAGGTAATACCCAACTTACTGGCTACTCTGATGCAAGCTGGAAAGATGGTAAGTACAAAAGGAAATCAGTTACTGGATATTTGTTTACTGTTGGAGACAATTTGATATCTTGTGTGTGTGGAACTCTAAATTTCAAGCACAACCTTCACTTTCTACTTGTGATAGTGAATTACAAGCATTGTTAAGTTGCTATAAAAGTCAATCCATTTACAATACATTATTGAGGAACTATTTCAATTAGAAAATGGCTATCAACCCACTAAAATATACTGTGACAAAAGGTAAATCCCAGGAATGATCGCTGGATCTGTAAAGACCCCTCAGAGATACCTGTCGTGATGCACACGAAATTTCCTGCCTCCGTAATGGTCCTTGGCGTTATCAGCAGTGAAGGTGATGTCATGCCTCCCCATTTCTTTGAGAAGGGCCTTAGGATGAACGCTGACACCTACATCAATGTTCTGGAGACCGTTGTGAAGCCTTGGATGGACATGGTGGCCGCAGGAAGGAAGTATGTCTTCCAACAGGACTCAGCTCCAGCCCATAAGGCAAAAAAGACACAATCGTGGCTGACACTTAACGTCCCTAGTCACTGGGGTCCTGATATTTGGCCCCCTAATTCTCCAGATTGCAATCCCCTCGACTACTATGTATGGGGCGTTGTTGAGAGAGATGTCAACAAAGCTCCTCATACCACCATCCAGTCTGTCAAGAAAGCAGTTCACACGGTGATGACCCAAATGGACAAGGTCATCGTCGCCAAGGCCTGTGCTTCATTCCGCACTCGCCTCGAGACTGTTGTAGCTAATAATGGAAACTACATTGAATAAATAAAAACTATATCCTTTTATCTACTACTGTGTCAAATTTCATTCGGATATTTTAATTTTTACTTGCAAAAAATTTCAGTTAAAATACCATTGTTGAAATTCCCAATTTACCTGGTACACCCTGTATACAATCTGAAAATAATCTTTCTGATTTTTTAACTAAAGCTTTAACTAAAAACTTGTCCCGCCATCTTTCGGAGGCTATTGAAACTGTTTTGAAATATGTATATATTTTGATAATCGATCATTTTTGTGTCATTTACTGGGGGCAATTGTGAATATATATATAAAAATGACCAAAAATGATTTGACAACTCTGTGTTTTGTGTGCTTCTAACTTGTAAATTGTAAACAAGTAGTTTATAATATTTTTTTGTTCTTTCCTGTTTTTAAATTGGATCTTAAATAAAATAATGATATAAAAAGGTAATCTTTTTTTAACTCAACCCAAATTAACACAATGTGTCCACTTCAACTTGGCTAGAAAATATAATTTCATAGAGAACAAGAAGATAAAGCTCCACAAAATAACAACTAAAATTGAAAATTCATATGCAAAGATAATAACAGGCCTGCCAAAGATAAGCGATATCAATATCAGAGCTAACAAACCTGATATAATAGTATATGACAAAATAAAAAAAGACATAACAATCATAGAGATAGGCGTTACCTCCCAAGATAATATCCAAACTACGGAGCTAACAAAGAAAAGAAAATACCAGCTACTGGCGAGGGAAATGGCCCAAACTGAAAAAATGCCCGTAAAAGTAGTGCCGATAGTCTTAACATGGGATGGAATAGTAACCAAATATAACAAACAATATAGGAAGGAAATAAACATAAGAAAAAGGGACTTCTCATATATTCAATCCTTGGTCTTAAAAAAAGACTGGAAATTAACTCAACAGAAAAGAAGAATGAGCCTCACGATAAGTCCCAGAGAAATAAAGAAATAGAAGCCATGGATAGATTGCTGGAATGATGCTGGTGTGTGAAGACAAGGAACACCGGAAATGGAGCACAGGACGACCATAGAAGAGATCCAGGAGAACGACCTAGAGCAGATGACACCTGACAGACAAGTCCTTACAACTACACTGAGAGGCATAATGAAGTGGTGAGATGCATCTACTTCAATCTGTCAAGAAAATTTCACTGAGAACAACAGAATAAAGCTCTATATATATATTATATTATATAAAGGACTATAAAAACTCCTGGTTCAGTAATTTCTATCTACTGCGTTCTAAGAAGGGTTTTCTATATAAGTCCCTAGATAGTGGTATACTAAATTCCTATTGGGAATATTCCACTCTAGTTCCCATTTTATTAATTACTATCTTCTCAAGTGCGCATTATCTCCACACCTAAGTGGTAGGCCTCTATGAGATTAGTTCTCTTGGAAGGGACATTACTGTTGCTACCAATGACAGGAATGGAGTCGAAATCTTCTTCCTTTTCTTGCTAAATCTGTAGGCATGATTTCCCCATTTCTACGTCCCAATGTTAATACTTGGGGCAATGTAGTTACATCACCAGACCATGGTTACTGAGAGCGACAGCACCCCCACCAGCCAAGTACAGCTATCCTCCATGCTGTACCACTTGAAGGGGAAGGCATAGTTCCCTTCAAAAAATTCATCAAAGATTTTGAGCTGGTCTATGACCTGAGGATATTGGACAACGCCAGGAAGAGGATTCTCCTGGATAATCACCTCAGAGGAGCCGCAAAGGAGTTTGCCCTCCAGTCTCAACAGATTCGGTTGGGATATAAAGAGTTGAAGGAGAGCCTGGGAAGAAGGTTTAAAAAAAAAATCTCCACCAGAGAGATGCGGAGCCAATTTTTCTCCTGCAGGCAGAAGGTTGGAGAGAAGGTCCGAGCCTGCACGGCAGCCCAGGAACCAACTTCTGAAACACCGACAGGACGGTCTGTGGAACTGGAAATCTCCGCCGAGGCTACACCCTTTCCAGCCTCACAGCCAGTTGATGAACTCCAGCAGCTCACGCCCTGAATACCCCTCACTCCAGGAAGAATGGGATGGAAAGTGGACAGCTGTGCCTGACAAGTTTCATCAAAGGAGTGAAAAAACGAGACTAGGAAACCTGACATGAGGACAAGACCTAGGGCGACACCACTGCAGAAACCTTGGAGTACCAAACCATCGGTACCCAGCATCAATGCTGAGAAGGCGGCAAAGTTACAGAGGTCCTACAACATCAACAAGATGCATACCTTGCAGGAGATATTGGGTCAACCCTCCCCAGGCTGCACAATCCCAAACCAGATGATAGAGGAGCAATTCGAAAAACGTATGGTTGGGGACAACACCGAATTCAGCCCTGACCCGGATCTCCTCAAAGATTTCGCCCCCAAGGAGGGAGCCCATATGGAAGAACCCATCTCTTCCAACGAAGTATGCCTTCTCAAGATGGGAAAAACTGCTCCAGACAGCTACCAGGAACTGAAATGGATGGATCCCAATGCCACCATCCTCACCCAGATCTTCCAGGCCTGCTTCCAGATTTCCAGAAGGAAAGCTCCTTCTGGAAAAGGGGACGCCGAGGACCTAGAGAACTGGAGGCCTATTGCGCTGGGCAACACGATCGCAAAACACTGCGGTCCTGGCGGATATGAATGGGTTCATATCACCCAGATCACGAGACAGGATGGACTGTTGGAAGAAAAAGCCAAGAAAAAGTCATCACATCACCATTTATAAACCAAAGAGGTTTGCAAATTTTTTTACTGATATATTCACATAAAGTAACTCAATTTCTCAATATATCAACAACCATAAGAACACCCAATTACCAAAAAGAGCAGGTTTAATCTATGAAGTGAAATGTGACCAATGCTATGTAGGACAAACATCCAGAACTTTAAAAGAAAGGATAGAAAACCATGAAATGCAATAAATTTTACTAATATATTTAAAAAGCATGAAAACCATGTAAGCCTATTTCACAATATATCAACAACCATAAGAACACCCAATTACCAAAAAGAGCAGTTCTAATCTATGAAGTGAAATGTGACCAATGCTATGTAGGACAAACATCCAGAACTTTAAAAGAAAGGATGGAAAACCATGAAAGGCAAGAAATTTTACTAATATATTAAAAATATATAAAAATTTCAAGGAAACCATGTAACCCTATCTCTCAATACATCAACAACCTTAAGAACACCCAATTACCAAAAAGAGCAGGTTTAATTTATGAAGTGAAATGTGACCAATGCTATGTAGGACAAACATCCAGAACTTTAAAAGAAAGGATAGAAAACCATGAAATGCAATACATTTTATAAATATATTCAAAAAGTAACTCAATTTCTCAATACATCAACAAACACAAGAACACCCAAAAAGAGCAGGTTTAATTTATGAAGTGAAATGTGAAAAATGTGACCAATGCTATGTAGGACAAACATCCAGAACTTTAAAAGAAAGAATAAAAAACAATGAATATGCTCTGAAATGGGATAAAATTGAGAATTCTGCACTTGTAGTACATAGAAAAATCACAAGGCTTCATAATTTCAACCTAAAAGAAACAAAGATACTAGATGAGAGCCTTTTTACATCCAAAAGAATGTGTGACAATTAACAGAATAGAAGAAAAGAGGAAATATCAATGATATTTATAGATATGCTTTTAATTATATACAAGGTATGTCCCATAAGTTCCCGGACTGGGTCCATTAAAAAATAAATAAATGAAAAATGTAAATAAATTTGACAGTTTATTATAGAAAAAATATCTGGCAACACGGTGGTACCAATATCAAGGCGGTACGTGCGCGCACGCCAAAGTTATTCTAATTTATTTAAAGGTTACACCTTGCTCTGCGGCGATTTTACGATGGAACAAAAATTGAAGCAGAGGATTTGCATAGAATTTTGTGTGAAACTTCAAATATCAGCAACCGACACTTTTGAAATGCTTAATAAAGCATTCCCCAATAACGCCCCAAAGAGAACAACTGTTTTTGAATGGCATTCTAGATTTAAAGCTGGCAGAATTTCCATTGAAGATGATCCTCGTCAAGGACGCCCAACAT